GTGAGGCTGCTCCACTGATGCCTCGTACCACTGCAGTAATTTAAGAAAACGCTCCAGTTTTAGAAGAGGGTACAGATGTTTTATGTGACAACACCAAGAAGTGTACTGCCTGTACTGATTTGTAAATGTGTGTCACAGATGATTTTTCTTTACAGATCTGTATTAATTTCTGTCCTAAGCCCTAGTAATTGATAGCCTGCCTAGAGAACAGGGTGGAGAAAGGAGAAAATAAGCCATTAGAACATGAGATTTTGTGTGCACACCCATGTAGGAAACCCATTATTTCCTCCTGGCTTTATAATTATACCATCACTTTGAGCTGGTATTTGTAGAGTTGTCTTCTCAGAGAGAAAGAGTTTTTCCTGTTAGAGAGGTAAATGGGCACAGGGAAAGCAGCAGGGAATCCTGTCTATTTTTTTAGTAGATGGGAATAAATAATGTGTTGTTCATCTAAATATTTAATAATTTACTGTCTCTGGGACCCTGGCTCCCCCTTCCCCACCAAATACACCACTGCTACTCTTGGCTGCCATCACCCTCCTTACATGCAATACAGTTGCAGCTTCTCACGTAGATGTATTGCTGGGTCCTTCAGTAACCAGCTGAGAGCAAATGTTCCCTGGATGTTTCACATGGGTGAGTGTCTCTATACTGCTCTTTCTACCCCTCAGCCACCCTGAATGTGTCTTGCAGAAGGACTTGTCCATCTCAGAAAAATGGGACAAGCAGTGCTAACTATTCCTGGTAAAGCAGTGTCCGTGCTTTATTTCACTTGAGGGAAGGAGGGGACTCATAGCCTGGGAGAAACTGCCTCAGCAGAAGCTGGTGCAAATTGATTATTTAATAACAAACAAGCACAGTGCCTGCTTTTTTATTATTTTTATGCCTATGGAACTCGCACACTACTGGTGTGGTGAAATTATTGCCTAAGGCTGCTCCCAAAGAGCTGCAAGAAGAAGAGGCCATGGGACTCATGCTGGTTCTGTTGCATGTCTTAATGAAGCTTTAAAATGTTTGAAATTGTTTTCGAAATGAAATATTCCTTAGCTGCAATTTAACTGCAGACTTTGCTTGCCAAATAAAGGAAAATTGTGAGGAACAAAGAAAAGTTAGATTGATGGCTAGAAGAAAAAATTAAATAAAAAATTAATGAAGGAGAGAAGTAAAAAAAATCATAGCATCACAGGCTTTTGCACTGAGATTTCCCTTCCAATATCTTTTCCTTTCCAACTATTACTATGCATTTTATTCTCCCTGTTTGCTACAAATGCTAGAAAAACTTTTTCTATAGGAATGATAGGGAAAATTGTCACAAATTTAGGCAGAAATTGGAACATGGAGTAAAATTTTAAAAGGGGTATGTATTTCACTGCCATTCTGAGTGGAGGCATGGTGAACTGTAAATTATTAATGAATTGACTGGAATTGCCTTTTTTTTACTCTTAAATCAAATGTGACTAAAGAGAAAAATCCCAGAAAGACTTTTTGTTCATAATTGTCAGCCCAACTTGTACACTTACAGCCTTTCCTCATTCAAATTTACTGCTCTTAGTGGCCATTAGTAACAGAATGAATAATGTGCTGTGAATAAATCCTCTCGTGGTTACCCTTTCTCTCCATTTGTAGATTAAGACCAGCAAATCATTTGTGGACAAGTATTAATGTCCAAAAGTGTCTGACAAGTGTGCAGTTGTTTGTTTTGAGCAAATTATTTTTGAAGTATCAGTACACCCTCAGGTTTTGTGTTCCTGCTATGACATGAAAAACCATTCTGGAATGAGTTTAAATTACAGGGCATTTAGGAAGAAAATACAGAAGATAGTTACAGTGAACAGTAGGACTTCAGGGAAATACCTACAAGCTAGTTCAGGCATTTTAAAATATGAATATTATTGTAAAGTCTTAGGTGATGTCTGGTAATAGATATTTAATCTTGCAAAAGCACTTTCATTGCTTGCTTGTTAAAGTAATTTAATGGATGAGTGATGCTAATAATGGCCCACATGTATAATCCAGAGGGTTTTTTTGTTCAAAACATTCCTCTAGGGTTTAAATTTCTAAACATGTTCAGAGGCAATTTGAAGAAATTTAGCCTATACACAAGCTGTAGGAAACATAATTTATTAACTTTGCTTCTTAGTATTTCTTCTGCATTCAGAGGATAAAAGAAATCACTATGTATACATATGTGCAACTTTAAGTAGTCTGAGTGATATACCTTGTTTTGATGGGATTGTTAGAAACCAGAGATGGTGAAGGAAAGGAAGTGGAGACGAAGATTAACAGAGGGCTTAAAACTAATTGTAAGTTGTCTGAAAAAATGTACAGTTCCAGATTTTCCATTACTGTTTGGTTTTGGGGTTTTGTTTTTTGGTTTTTTTGTTTTTTGGGGTTTTTTTGTTGGTTTTTTTTTTTTAGAGAATTGCATTAGTAATGTCTGTAGCATAGTTCTTGCAAGAAAATAAAACAAAAGAGCAAGAAACTGACATTATAGTAAAACCAGTCTTTCTTTCCATCCCAACACTTTGGGATGCTGGAAGAATTGACATCTGGAAAACAGATTATCAGGTAATAAAAATAAACATATTAATTGCTTTTTAAACACCAGTTATTATGATAAAGTCACACACTTTTGAAGATATTGCAGTTTTGTTTCAACTAGGAGTTAATTTCTTTTCTGAGCACATGGCTATGTTTTGCTGAAACTCAGATATCACCTACACAGGGTAGGAAATTAGGGAAATAATCTGGTGTAAATGCCTCTTTGACTTTGTGAGGATCATTGCACAGTCACATAGTTCAATGAAGAACTAAAATGTGTTTGTTGACTCCAAGCTCAGCTGTTTCCAAATAAATGTTTGTGAAACCTCCAACTTTAATAGCTTCTTTGTACCATCCAAAAGATGTGCAAGAGAATGAATAGATGGCCTTTCAGATAGAGAACAAGCTGTTCACCGTGTCTTTTCATTTACTGAGACAAAATACTCTTTTTATGCAGAGATAATACTTTCCATCATTTTCAACAACGTTGGGTAGAATAAATAATTTAATTGTTTTACTGCTGAGTGCCAGGAGTTTAACCTATGTGTCCTTAGATCAGGACTCTTTCTAGACCAGCAGTGTTAAATGTGTTGAGCTAGATAGAATTATTTTATTTTTTTTAGAAAATACTGGAGGTATTTTGAATCCCATGCTCACAGGGTGGGATGTCATTAGCTATCCATCCATGTTTATCCACGTGACATCTGCCTGCAAATGATATATGGATGAATTCTCATTGCCATGGTGCACTGCAGCTATGGGATCAATAATTTACTGATAAGGTCCAAAGCACTGTAAAGGAAATTGGTCTAAATTATTGTGAAATTGCAGTCCTGCTGTGGAAAGCAGCTGGGGTTCTCTCAGTTGGACACTTGGACAAAAGCACTAGCTTGGATCAGAAGAGATCACAAATAGTGAGAAAATCAGGGTATGGAATATCAGGGCTCAGCCTTGTCTTTCTCATGTGAGGTCTGGTTTGGCCCTTAATGTTTGCAGTTGTAAATCCACCACTTAAATCACAACTTAGTACAATTGGTGCTAAGTAATACCAGCTAGTTATACTGGTAACATATTTTTGCTCCACAATATAGCTGAAATCATAGTATATTTGCTGAAATTGAAAGAAATACAGTCAACAGGAATCCCTCAAAACTTGAGGAAAATCTTACCATTTGGGAAAATAAATAAACCCAAAACCAGAGAAACAAACAGAAACATTTTTATTTTGTGGTTGCAAAGACCAATTGCATTGTCTGTTTGCATAAAAGAAAAGATTTTTTTGCATGAACAAAATACTCTAGATCATGCATCGTGCATGAGTAGTTTACTAAAATTGGAATAGAATTTGTTTAAAAATTTTATAATAATTTTATTTAGAAGAGAGTTGTGAAACCACCAGGTCCAACCCGTGCTGGAAGCAGCTACGGTAAGACCAGGATGCTCAGAACTTTGCACAGGCAAAATCACTTTGCATATAATGTTGTTGGACACTGTGCAGGTAACCTGTCACGTTGGAAGAAAAAATAAGTACCTGAATCTTGACAAATTTTCTTTAGTTGCCATCTCTAATGGTTGCACCACATCGTTTTGTAGCAGAGCTCAAAAGGAAAAGTCTGGCTTGGTCTTATCTCCATTCTCCCACTGGGTTTTTGAAGACCACCATGAGATTACCTTGAGCCCTGTCACCCAAGAGCAAACTCAGTGCTTTCACCACAGTGATGTGTGCAGCAAAGGTTTAGAAAAATCCTAAAAATAGTGTGACATGGGAATGAGGAATGAAAAAGTTACTCTGAAATCTGAAACTGGCTGTTTGTCCTGACAACCTGAGGTGCTACAGCTTCAGTGTGTAGGGATGGCCTTTTAGCAAGTACCTTCAGTCTGGTTTTGTAACACTTATAGAAACCAGGAGGAATAAAAACCTTCATTAATACAATTGAACAAACTTTATCAGCACTTACAGTGATGTCCACAAAACTAACCAACCATCCAGAGATTTTAATGTGTTTATTTCATGGTTCTCAACTACTGTGCATAGATGTTAATCACAGTTCATGGCAATCCTAGTTTTTTTCTCTTATTACTAAAAGCTATACTTCTGAATTTCCAGAACAAGCTAATGTGTGGGAAGGCTGCTTTGTGTGCAGCTGAGCTAACCAGGATGGCAGTGTTTGTTATAAGGACTCTTTCTTTCTGGTACCTGAACTATGATGAAGTATTTTGTGCCTGTTGGTGCTTTTGGAGCTGAGGATGTACTTGCTAAATGAAGGAACTGATCCCTGCAGTGATAACATACTGTTAACGTTTTGAAACTTAGAGGTTTATGTATTCTGTATTCTTTGGGCCTTTTTTTTTTAAAGGCAGGGGTCCTGTTCCTGCCATGCACAGTAATAGGAGCAGATATTCTCTTCCAGCTCTTGCTAATGTATTGTACCTTGAGCTTTTTTTGTCTTCCTCTGCAGAAACTCTCCTGGATGATTTCCTTCTCACATACACGGTTTTCATGACGACTGATGACTTGTGCCAGGCACTCCTGAGGCAATATCCTTTTACTGAAAGTTGTATTCACAGGGGGTCACATATCTACTTGTACTTTTAGCTATTGTTGAGCCTTATATCAAAGTCAGATGCGTGGTTTTGAAACAGATGCCTAACTCATAGCAACAATGCAATTTTATGTCAGCTTTATTTAAAGAGAAATAAACTTTTATAACTTGGCAAGGTAGAATTTAAATTTGGGTTCAAACCTCCTCAGGTTATGTTAATTCATAGAATACCTACATGTGCAGAATACATTACAGAATACACTAGAACAAAAAGTAAAGAATTTTACAGTCTCCGCTCCTTTTATCATATAATACAGGATATAAGTCTTAACTCATTCTGAGATAAAATAATTATTTTCATGTATTTCTAATTACTTCCATATGCTATGAAGCTATGGATTAATGCTTGAATAAATTTGCAGCTATAAAAATTTGTTTGATTTTTTAAAATCTTTTTCCCCATCTTTTACTTCTGTGGTGAAAACATCAATTTTTTACCTTAGAAAATAAAGAACCATGAAGAGACAGGAACAGTGTACAGAGTAGGTATCATCTGACCTTTGGTGTTTCTTCCTTATGAATAGGGAACAATGGTAGAAATAATATTTAATTTTTTTTTTTCATTTTAATTGTATCACTTCTGCCGATAGTGTAATTTGTGCAGGCAAAAAGAAATTGACTTCCTTGGCCTGTTTTTTGTGTTATTGTTAATGATGCTTTGCTCTCCTTCCCACAGACATTCACATTGGCATCGGTGTGCAGGACAAAGGCTCATTCTCAGTTCTGCAGAAAAGACATGACTGAACATTGTATAATTCCTTTTGAATTGGTTTTACTTTTATAGACTCGCCTCTCTAATCTGTAAAGGAAAAAAATCCTGTTGGCAGAGAGGATGAATTGACATTCCTAGTACTGAGAATTTAATTCCCAAAAGTTATGAAACTCCTAAAGCTCCAGACAGGATAAAACATTTAAAACCTAGCAATGCAGTGGAAAAAACCTTTCATTAGCAAATGAGATTTTTGTAAAGTCTTTGCCAGCAGTTAATTTTAAAGTTTCTTTGAGATCTTATTACATGTTCCTTAACCTATTGCACCTATTGTGCTAAGAACCACCAAGGGAAAGAAGATGACTCTGATGTGTCCTGTAGGAAAAGAAAAGTCTTACACTTGGTCTCTCAGTGGACTTCTCTCTACAAAGACTGGTTACACGAAGATGAGCATTTAAAACAATTTTTAAAGGTATTGAAACAATTTCTGTGATGCATTTCAGCACTGTTTAATTATATACTGTGTCTAAAAAGTCCCAACAGCAAAATCTATAAAACATATTCTGTTCATACTTAGAACTTCAGGAAATCTCTGTTATAAAATGATTTACATGTGTCTCCTTTAAATGCCTTAAATATAGTCAGTATGAATAGAAATCCTCTCAGTACAGTCAACATTAAGAGCATTATTTTAAATATGAAACTTATGGAACTCCCATGGTCTCTAGAAAATGGGAAGAGTTAGGAGGGTAAGAAATAAAACTACAAAGATGTGGAGGTTCCTTGGACACACCAATCCTATCTGTCAGAATATGGTCTGCAGTCAGTATCCAGAGGATCATGGATGTAGAGAGTTTTAAGGTGTCTGTAAGAGATGCTACTTTGACTGAGGAGTGAAATCCTATTCCATGGTGTTTGCTGGGGGAACATGGAGAGCAGCATAGCTTTATGTATTTTTGATAAATAAAATATTGCTCCTTACTTGTTAGAAAAGTTATTTTCATATTTCTGTATGAGTTCCAAAAGCTCTTATAATTCCCTTATTAATTTGAAAATAGTGCTGCTGTTGAGAATCTAAAGTCAAGCTGGTTACTGATTTTTTTTCAATGTATATTTTTTCCCTGCTGGTTGAAAGATGAGAGTATTTTAGGAGACTTTGCAGTATCTTCCACTATTACTGATGAAGCTCTTTGTCTGCAAGTGGAGATCTTCTTAAGGGTCTTTTATCTCTTCAGTCACTCTCTCAAGACAAAGGCAATGTGGAGAAGATCTTGAGATTCCTTTTTTTTGTGTGTTTTGTTTTGTCTTTTAAGCATGACACGCTGCACATGGAAGCAGAGGCCTTAGGATTTTTGCTGTTTGGTACTAGATGTGTATTGCTGTTCTGGGAAGGGGACATAATTTCAGGCATCAGTTATGTCACACTGAGTTCCACCTGTCTGGGCTTTCTGGCCATGGAGGTGTGTGACTGTGCACTGTCTCACAATTCCTCTTCTGGAAGCCTGTGTGCAGTATTGAACAGCAATAATGTTAGTGATGGTTGTAGTTACAAGTGCAAAACCAGCATACAGGGTTGTAGGCTAAAATCTTTCATCCAGAAATCTGTGAATGTGGGGGCTAGAGCAAACCTGGTAACTCAGCTCATACATATGATCCTCCTTTCCTTAGAAGGGAAAGAGAAGGATCTATGATGTGGAAAAAGTGTAGAGAAAACATTTCCTAGAATTTCAATCATGACAATGTCTTCCCCCAAAATTAAAAGTAAGGTTTATTTATGTATTAGTTTACAGCTGTGGGAGATATCAACTCTTTAAAATGCATGCAAATGTGAGGAAAGGTAAAGTAGAATATTTACCATTTTTAAAGTCTTAATCTAAGGAACCTATTTGTTATCATTTTGGCTAAGTGATGATTGTGTGGTGTGCTGTCATGCTTCAGAATGTGTTATTCTGACCTAACACAGGTTTCAGGTAGTAGCCACAAATGGTGTTTCAAATTTTCTTGTTTATAGACAAAACAGTACAAGCATTTTGCCCTCTCACATGGTACACAGTACTAAGTAAGACTGTTTCTCCAAAGACAAGCTGAATATTGAATATTTCCAGAAATTTAAATAGGAACATTCTCTCCTTACGGGTTTTGCATAAATATAATGATAAAACTTGTTTAAGTAGGATAGTGCCTGAATTGACTTAGACCACTGATGTGATGCCTTGAATGTTTGAGTTGTCAAATGTTTTAAGATACTGCTTTGTTTTGTAGACAATATACAGAAATGTCTTAGATGATGTGTATGAGTATCCCATTCTTGAGAAGGACCTGAAAGAATTTCAGAAGATACTCGGGATGCATCGCCGTCAGTAAGTATTGATTATGTTAGAGATCAAGTCTTCTTTTATTCAGAGTATAATTTATTTTTGTTGCTATTTTTCTGTAATTCAGTGATGAGTGATACAAGTGGTATATTCAGTTTTACAAATCATCTCTTCGTAAAACTAAAGCTAGATTATTCAATTTTTTCTGATGTTTGTTGGGCAGTGTTTGTGATTCAACATTCACTCCCATCAATTTCATTTGGGATTATTTACAGACAGAGCAATAGTTTATGGACAAGCTGGCAAAAATTCCCTCAGAAGCTGCGGTCTGTGACTTCAGATGCCACCTTCATTCTCTGCAGAACTGAAAAGCAAATCACTTGGAATAGTCATCTCAGAGTTATTATTTTACTAATAATATGGCATCTATAAAAGACATTTAATTGGCATGTTTTTCCAACAAATGGAGGTTGTTTCCGTGGTTTGGCCGCTGGGGAAGTGGAAGCTGTGCCCCTAAGGGTGACCCTGACTGCTGTGTTTGCCTACTCCAACAGCTCATGGGCTGGCAGCATTGCTTTTCACTACATCGATTATGCAAGTCAAAGGAAAGTTCTCTGGCTGAGCCAGATGCCTTTAGCTTTTCCTGAAGAACCTCTGCAGCCCTTCTGCAGTGACAATTTACAGTTAAAAACTTTCTGATGTTGTAAAGTTTGTTATAGCTAAAACTTCCTTTTCCTAAGCTTTGGCTAGAAAGAATAATTGTGATTTTCCTTTTTGTTTCAGCACTGTAGATGAGTATTCACCTCATCGAAAGGTAATGCCATGCTGATTGTTGCTGATAGCTAGATAACTTATCATCTCACTTTTTTCCCCCTCTGCCCACTTCACTCTTGTTTCTTGGCTTCTTAACTGAAAGTGATTGGTGACCAAAAACATGACAGGACACATCAGTGAGGTTAGACCTGCAATGTTTCTTAAGGAACTTTTTTTTTCCCTTAGAATGCATCCTTGATATCATCAGTGTGAGCTAACCTGCAGTGGCTGTGACAGTATTAGCATGTTAACAAGATGTCAAAATTCAGGAGAGGCCTGGGAGCGTGTCCCCACCGAGCTAGAGGGATGTAGCAAGCTGGGGAACATAGGCATTGACATGGATGTCAAGTAAACATAGCAAAGGGCAGATTTACTATGACAGGGACAGACAAAAAGAGAGGAACATGAATCTGTCTATTTAACTGGAGGGAGAAGTTGCAGCCAGAGAAAGTTGGCGTGCAAACTGCACAGAGGTGACTCACTGTGCTCATCAGTTTTACTGGGCTGAAGCTGAAGTGTGTAATAAGATTAAAATGTTACTGCAAAAACTTCCAGGCAGAGCATGAGATTGTAGTGAAATTGCTAAATAGGCTGATTGGTACATAGGAAATGTATGTAAGAATAAGTGTATAAGAAATAGGCTCTGAACATGAATATAGAAAACCTTGAATTGTGCAGGCTGCTTAGCCTTGGCATGTCCTGCTTCCTCCAAAATCCCCACCTTGGCCATTTTTTAGTAAGGCAACTCCCAGTTTACTGCTCCAAGAAAGGGTGGGTGTACTTCCTATACAGAAATCTTTTGGCCAGGCATATAGGTTAAATGCTGTATTCTGTGAATTACTGCTTTGTAAACAGCAGGGATGCAAAAGATCACTGGTTTTTAAATTTTTTTTCTTTCTTTCTTTTCCACTCCCTCACAGAATAAAACCTTTTTCCACCAGTTCAGTGTAAAAGAGAACTGGCTGCAGCACAGAGGAACAATGAATGAAACAGAAGAAAGTGAGTATAAACGAAAGAGTGGAGGAAAAGCTCAAAAACTATAAAATTGTTTCTCAAGGACTTCAATGTATATATTCTTTAGCTGACATAAAGCTTTTGAACAACATCTTAGGGATGCAAAAGAAGAAATATTTGGCAAGTTTACCTTCCTTCCTCCTGGTTTGCAGGGCTCAACAGTGCCATGGTATCTCACGGGATTTTTTGCCCTGTCCAGTTTCTCCAGCACCCCTGTCACAGTCCTGTGTGTGTCCCAGGTGTGCTGGCAGCCCGTCCACCAGGCATTACTTCTGCTCCATTTCATGCTCTCAGTCTCTTGACCTATATCTGGGTTATGAAAGGTGAATGAAGAAGCTTGTCATGTGAAATGGGCCAGGATTTGCTAACTCTGGGAATGTGCCTTAGTTCCTTCTCTGCTCAGAAACATCTCTGGGTGGAGTGCAAGGTGCCACTTCACTTTAATGTCAGCCATTTCAAAAGGCAATTTCCCCCATCACTGTAATACTGTGAGGCAGTGAGGCTGTCACCCTCCTGTAATGTGCGAGTGAGGAAGGAGGCAGAGAAGAGAACACTGTGTACGAGAGCAGGGAACAGCAGAAGGACCTCCTACCTGGCAGCCTCGCTCTTTGACAGTATCTCTTCATTTCTTACTGGGAACAAAACTCCGGAAGTTCACTTGAAGTCAGTGTATTTTTAGTCCTCATTTGTGACAGAATAAAAACTGAGCTCATTCTACGCCAAGTCGAAACACTTGCACAGTATGTGCTGCTGATAGATAATCCTCTTTTTGTGCTTCAAATGTAGGGGATTTTGAGGTTTATGTTTACCAAGCCTTCTGCTAAAAATCTATTTGTAGATAAGAACCCCCATGCTTATTCTTCTTTCAAAGCTGGACACAGCTTGTGGGTGACTGAAAAGGAAAGTGTACTGGTGCGAGAGAGGGGACAGACTGTGGTAAGACAGTCACCAGGACAGGACCCAGCAAGGCCAGTCCTGGCTGAATTAAATTGCTTTTGTCTCACTCCTTGAGAGCAGGAGCCATGGCCTATGATGGGATTGAAGGAATAAAATAGCCAGAGTGAAGGAGAAGAAGGGAGAGACAGATGGAGAGGGTGGACATCTGACCCTATGTGGTGGAGTGCTGTCTGGCTGATGGTGCTTGTGGAGGATGGGTCTGTCCAAGGTGCACCATGCCCCTTGACTAGAGGGGTTCTATCCTCTATTGCAATCATTACCAGGGCAACTTGCAGCCCGTGGCTGCTTCTTCCCACTGGCATTTGCTCCTTCCCACAGAGGAGCAGCATAGGCTCCTGGAAGAGATGACATGGTCCATCCCAAGAGATACCACAGCCAGAACATTGGAAAGGTGTGAGGGGGAGAATCACTATGGTGGTTGTGCTTGAGCATCTGGCCCGTGGGTTGATTTAGTTCAGTGTCAAAGAAAGGATATATCAATAACCTATTTATGAATTGACATTGCTGTGATTGTCCCCTTGCAAATGACAGAGGGGACATTTCAAACAAATTCACTGTAAGCTAGGTGTGTCAGTTTGCATATGAAGTCCAAATATTCTTGTCAGATTTTAAAAATTTGTTTTTCTACCTAGTAATTTAAAGTGCAGTTGGATGTCTCCATCTTCATGATGTGTATCCATTGTGATAAAAGATTCTGCCATAGAATGAGCATCTCATTTACTCTCTGTCAGCAGAGACAGGTTGAAAAGTAATTATAAAATCAAATGGCTTTTTTTTCCCCCTAATACTCAATGTTAAGTTCCTCCTTCATTCTCATATTCGTTTTTTTCTTTACTACAACAGGAAAAAACACTGTTCTCGAGGATAGATGCCTTAACTGCTTCTGGCATAGTCTTCACTAATGAAAGTGCCCTGAAGCCATGAAAATCTGTAGGACAACCAAAGAGCTATTGCTACATACATCTGTCAGTAAAGATAATAAAAAAAGATACAATCATTCTGGAGAAGAAAAAGTTGTCCTGTATTGGCATGGTAGCAGCCTGTCTATAATAAGAAGTGCTAGAGTAGAAGGAAATTGAAAGTTTAATTAAGCACTGAAGCGAGCGTGAAACCAAGAGCTGTGACGATTCTGATTAGCAAATGTAATTTTCAAAATATTTATGCAAGTCTGCAGCTCAGTTTCTTCCACTTAAATTGTGGAAGCCATATTTCAAAGAACTAGCTAGGGCAAACTTGGCAAAAGATGTAAACCTAAAATTCTGTCGGGCAGAGAGAGCGTACATCCCTTTTTGTATTGGAAAAAAGCAATCACTGAGCTGACCACAGCATTCCTAGAGCTGAACCGACCCATGGACCTCAATGGAAGTAGTGAGCCCAGGGAATTTCTCCAAACCAGTCCCTTTTATATGTGCTGCTTGTGATTCAGGAAATGAGTTGTCAGAACTGATTGTATGGCTGTTTGGGCAGTCTCTGCTGGTGCTGAAGTACTCTGGCAATGTCAGTAGTTTAGATATCTAGACAGATAAGCTATCAGGAGTGGTTGAAGCTGTTCTTTCAGAGCTTCAAACCTGGGAGCACTATTCTTTCAAAGCTTCCTGTTCCGGGTAGAATTGGAGGTCCAAAGTAATTTCTGCCGCACATATGAAATATACTGAAAGGACAGTGATTTATCTGAACCTAAAATGAAGGGAGTAAAAATGGTGACAACTGACTTTCAGAGAAGATAGGCAGTGAAGGACGTTGTCTGTGACAAATCTTGAGGGTAGGAAGTCTTAAATAGATATTGCTGTGGGAGTCTCTGTTTCCATTTGCTTGCCTCTCTCATTTCCCAGGGACAGGAAGTGGGGAGGGGGGAAAATGGTGATGTTTATGCTTAGTTTCATGTCCTTTATGTCAGGGTGCCGGGTCTGCCCTTCCTGCAGCAGCTAGGCAGCTGAGGCATTTCTGTGGTGGGGTCTGCAACTTTGTTCCTTGCTCTGTTCAGGTATCTCTGCCTACAGCTGAGCATGTCTTTCTTCCTTTGTGCAGTTTTCTGCCGTGTGTATATAACAGAGCACTCCTATGTCAGTGTGAAAGCTCAAGTGTCAACTTCAGCTCAGGAGATCCTGAAGATCGTGGCAGAAAAGATCCAATACCCGGAGGAGGAGTTGGCACTGGTGACAGTCTCATTCTCTGGTGGTAAGTAACTTCCCCTCGTCTGGCTACTTACCTTTTATTGCATCAGGTAAGGCAGGGCTGGCATTTTCTGATGCAAGGATACAGCTGTTCCTCTATGGGCCCACAGCTGGATGACCAGGGGAACAATGAGGAGCTGCTTCCCAGAGACTTGTTTCCATGGCAACGGCTCTTTCTTGGGTACTGTGGGATGTAGCATCTCCTGGCTGGGAAGGGAGTGTAAAGAACTCTCAGTCTGCAGCAGTATTGCAAGGTTTTATTTCTTTTCCACAGATGAATCTCCTATTTTGGAATTTAAATTAATTTTGAAGGCAGTGAGGCATGGTTTGCTTTAAAAATAGAGACTGGAATAGCAAATACTGTGTGCATAACTGTTTCTTAATTTATGGCATAGGTAACAAATATTCTTGAGTTGAAAGGAAGAAGACATGTATTTGCACAATTGAGATACTGAGAGCAATCTCAGCAATATTTTGTAAGCAATAACTGACATCTTTTACCTTTGTTTGTAATGTAGTATAATGACATGGTTTTAGTCTTTAAATAGAAGGGCTTATTTTCTTTTTTAAGAAAAAATCAAGATCATGGAGTGATACTAGGGACCAGCCCAAGATCATCTTTGGTGATTGGCAAGTCTCAAGCTCCTTAGTCAGATTGTTTTGATCGTTGTAGTGGGTTTTGGAAGCAATTTAACTAGGTGCATAGAACCACGGAGCTGAATCTACAAAAGGACTAAGAGTGTAGAATATCTTGGCTATATTCTCAGATAACATTAGTTGGTGTTGACCCCCTAAGACAAAGGATGCATCTTTTAAGTTTCAGCACTCATTGCTGCTTCTTTGTCAGTCTAGTTAAATGAAATACACCCAAGTGTTGGCTTGTGCTGTTTATAGCTTTGATTCAGAACTGGAAGGTCACTTATTTTCCCCCATGCTGAGCTCAATTAAATGGATGTATTTTTGAATGCACAGGTGTGGGTGGCAGGAGATGATGCCTTGCTCTGGTTATTGAGAGCCTGGGCACAGAGCAGCCACTGGGAGCATTACACGTGGATGTCCTGGCCATCCAGGCTACATCATTTTCAGGCATACTCTTTTTACCCTTGTGTGTGCCCAAACTCACCTCCAGTGCATTTCACAGCACTGCAAAATCACTGTGCTGCTGTAGTTTTTCAGGTCTTTCTCTCCTGCTCAAGAGCAGGTCAAGTTTTGCTCTGACAGCAATAAATCTAGTTCTAACTGCCTGCTTAGCTAAAGAAAACCAACCATTCATAAATAATGAAAAATACTATACTGGTTCCCAGGAAAGCCACAAAATAGAAGTGGTTGCCACTTGGTTGTTCAATGGGAAACAGCAAATAAAATGCAGGTATAGTAGGAAAGCCATTTGTACATGACCTTTATAACCCCTAAAATGTTATTTAGTTACATTGCCTGAGTTAATTTGAAATACAACCATTTCAGGGTCTTTCTTCTTGTGCATCCTGTACTGCAAGTAATAAACACCAACCTGCTATGCTTTTTTTTCTGCTTTGTGTTTTTGCTATTTGTGTGACTTAGAACTCTTGTCTTTCATCCACTTGGAGGGCAGCAGTATGAGCATTGGAAAACTTGTTTTTATTGTACTCCAATAATGATTAAGCAAGGTCTTTATTCAAAATTACCTTGAAAAAACATAGTGATAGTTCAGCATAATGTATTTGTGTATCAATGGATAAGTGAGTATGGATAAAATGGAAAACTGTCTGAAATGATGTTTGATTCTCAGACTCCTCTTGGTCCTATTCCTCATGGACGATTGCATGGGCAATGCAGAGCCCAGGGTAGCTGTCTGTACTTAGAGTGGTTTTGGGTCTACCAAAAGGTATCAGGTCTCCAGAGGATTACTTGGAGCCTGCAGGAAGTGACAGTTTTTGCAGGGCAGTTTTTAAGCTGTGTTTGGAGTTTTGCTTTATTTTTCCCCCCACCTTTCTCTAGTTCATCCAAGATTCCACAGAGCTGAACCAGCACTCTGGACTGGAGGAAATAAAAGTCCTTTCTCTTTGCTATCAGTGTCTTGCTCTTTTATTCAGATATTTCCTAAAGTATTTGCTCTAAGTCTAGAAGAATTACCGTAAATACTGTGTTACAAAGGACTTCTCAGCTCTGCTCTGTGGGGTTAATTTCATGGTGTTGGGATCCTTTAAACTTATTTTCCTGTTGAATGGCTGTGGCTAATGATTTAATCTCCACTTCTAGTTTTGTCTCCAGTGACACACAACAGCTCAATCTCTGGAGGCTGAGACACCCTGCTCTAACAAACGTCACTTCATTTATACTAGATACACTGGGTTGAAATTAAATGTTCTCTAAGGCATAGGAGGCTAGACCAGATGATTTCAGGGTTTCTTTCTGTTCTGTATGAAGAGTAGTTTGAAAGCAGAAGCAGGAAGCTTTTGTGCTCTAGTCCATCAGAGATATCTTGCCTTTATCTTGCCTGAGTGGGGTGGAAATGATGGGTCCCCACAGAGACTGAATTTGATGCTTAGTTACCTTCTAAGAAGTTGATGTGGCTTCACAAATACAATTGTACCTTTGTTTCTCATATATAGTTTTTACTCCTGTCCTGAAACTCCTGTGGGTTTTTTGCTGTTTTTACAGAAAAACATGAGCTACAACCAAATGATTTGGCTATCTCAAAATCTTTGGAGTCATCCAGTCGTATGTTTGTATACCGAAAAGATCTGACCGATTCTTTGGTAAGGATTGGTATTGTATATTTCCCATTTTTTGTTTTTCTGTCTCCTAATCAAAACCTTAGTGTTCCTCTCAGAGGGTTTTTCAATGCAGAATTTATTTTTTGCTTCCTTACTAAACCTTACTGAGCTGCTCTATTCCTAAAAAAAGAAAATAAAATCTTTCATTAACAGCAGTTATTTGACTGAACAGTAATGGAATTTGTTCATCAATTTTAAATAAACCAAAGCTTCTGTGCTGCTTAAATCTTTCAATCTACATCAGCCTGGAAAAGCTGACCTGTGTGTGTACCAGAATGGATGGGATGAGGATTATTCAGGGCTCTTATGACTCTTTCCTCCCCGCCCTGCCTTGTGCCTCTGTAGCACTTTGGCTGGTACATAATCGTACAAAGTGGTGGACAAATTCCGTGGAATTACTACATGTGGAAATAGATGTCGTGTGAGTTCCACAAGACCCATCAGTGTGACCCCTGTGTTGTGGCAGCCACGTGGCCAGCTGGTGTGTACCTCCCTTCCTTCTGCCTGTCTGTCTCTCCATCCTCCCCCTGGGGCTGGGAAGGTCAGCAGATGGAGAGGCAGCAGATCTCCCTCATCCTTCCCTCTGTCTCCAGAAACCAGGATTGCAAACTCCCTCCCTCCATGCTTTCCCAAAACATCAGTGAGGCAGGCACAGTCAGGCACTTTGTTGTGTCAATAGTTTTCTGCTAATTATGCAGATGTTTCCAGGAAAGAGTAGGGACTGTATGGCAACTGACTTCTACATGTTGTGCATTCATCCTCAGGATGAGAAATGTCTATTTACATTTTGTTGGATCAATGTGCCCCCAAGAGCTGACATGCCACTATCATTGTAATCTGTCATCCCCATTACCTCCGGCATTCAAGCCATCTCTAAAAATGTGAATATTAAAGGAAGATTTCCAGTGTAGACAGGTGACAGCCAACCTAGTTGTGTAATAAAAATTGCAAAAGTTGCTGTAACTGTCAGAAATATAGCACCAAAGTAATGGTTTAGCTGGTAAGAATAATCTTTCATCTTGGCAGACGGTTCATGTGCCAAGTTTCAGACTGATGAGGTTAAAACGGCTAAGAGAAATGCAAAACTTTGAAAATCCCAGCTAATAATGGAAATGTCAAATGACCCTGAACACCAGCAGTACCACAGCACTCCACAGTAATATACTAAGTAACTTTTATGAATCAGAACCCACAGTGTTTTACTCTTTGTTGATTATATTTGAGATAGATTAATCATAAAATATATGGATTTATGTTATTTGTAAAAGTGGACTGGAGGGCAAGTTATTTGTATTTATTCTTAATCCAGTGTTTTTTCAGAATGATTCTTTTGTATCAGAAAATTTACTGATGTCTCTATTTAGATTTTATTTTCTGATAGTTTCTGGGATTTTATTTTCATTATGCTGTCTGCTTAGCCAGTGTTTTATATTCAAGGTTGGGAGAGGGAGAGAGAAGGAGGAGAGAGGGAGAAGGCCTCACTCTCCAAAGCAAATCATTGATCCTATTGACCCATTTCCCATTTCAAGCTATTTATTAAATAGGTTATAGCTCCTTCATTTTGATTAGTGGGGAAAAAAGCCCTCAGAGTGCACTTAGAGAAGATTACCTACTCAGCTCTCTTTGGTATTTTAGCCCAGTAACTGTTTCATGGCAGAACCTTTGGCATATCTTGAGGAATTTGTTTTGCTCTTGTCTATTCATTTAGAACCCATTTTCTGAAAATGAGGACTTGCAGCAAAGATCTGTGAGGATTTTGGGAATTAACACCTGGGATCTTGCCTTAGAACTAACAAACTTTGACTGGAGCCTCTTCAATGCAATTCACGAGGTAAGAAGCACCACATCCACTTCCAGGTAAATTACTGTCATGCAGCATTGCACCATTGTGATGCATTTTGGAGCATTGGTATTCCTGGGGCTTGGTTCACTGTCATGACAGCATGATTTGGCAGCTCTCAGTAGTGGTGACAGGTCCAAGAGTTATCTTGCAGTCCTTGAGACTGTAAAGAATTGTCAGAGGTTTGTAAGTTTCCTGTGTTTGGGCATCTCATACATTCCCTGTATACCTGATGTGTTTTATTTCAGATTGGTCTCAAGAGAGTAAAAGTCCATGATTGTTTTCTAAAAACCCTCTCTGTGAATGTGTTAGATATGCAAAATGTCCCATGAACTTGATAGTGTTTCAGTAAATATGGGATTCCAGAAATAGCTGTATTTCATATCACTTTAGCCACAAAAGAATTTACAGTTTCAGCAATTCAGATGGTCACATTAGTGTTCTTGTTAGGCTTCAGTGAGATGAAAAATACTGGGCAGGTTTTATTAAATGAGATAATGGTGCACTTCAGGGCCCATTGGGTTGCTTCAAGGACTTTGATAGGTTCTGGTTTGGGTTGCTGAGTAAAACACACAGTTCTAACAGTAGAAAATCTCTCTTGAAAATACTGTTTACTGAAAAGCATGTTGGCTTTCTGAGAAAATGAACGTGAAATTCTCTTGCTTTTCACCAGATGCTTTCCTTCTCTTTCATTTTGGGTTATTTTATTCAGCTTAGACACTTAAAATTTGAAATTGGCTAAGTTTGGGGTATTTTTTAAACAGAAATCAAGACCCACACCTCTATTGATTAAAACTTGGCTGATACAGAAACAAGTTTGAATAGAAATTTTTCAGATTCTGCAGTGATTTGATATGGTTGCTTTTTCATACTGGAACAGAAGTGATGAAATACAGAAATAGATTATGTCTAACACCTGGCTACAGCCAGAAATGGAACCTTGGGAATTCTGACAAGAAGAACATAACTTGCTGGATTTCCAGTCCACCTGTCTTCTGTAATAAGTCTCTAGATTTTGCTAAGCCAAAGCTGAATCATTTGTGGTTGGTCCATGGATAATGAAAAAATAACTGTTTGTGACCAGACCTTGTTTCAAAAACATACAATTTACAGTTCATTTGTATTTAAATTGTTTTTATGTCCCTGATTATGTTGTCAATGTCTTCCAGCAAGAGCTGATATACTTCACGTTCAGCAGACAGGGCAGTGCTGAAAACACTGAGAATCTCAGTCTTCTGCTTCAAAGATGCAACGAGGTCCAGCTTTGGGTCGCCACCGAGATACTCCTCTGTGGCCAGCTCTGCAAACGTGTACAGCTAGTGAAAAAGTTCATCAAGATTGCTGCCCAGTAAGTTCCTGGCATTGCAATATTGTATTCACATGGTTTGTTTGGCAAGAAGTAGGTGGAGAAGCAAGGAAAGAAAACGAATTTTCGTTATCCTGTGTAGTAGTGTACCTTGATACACTTGTACGTCATCGTTGATAGTGTAGTAAGTGCAGCTAAATAAAATAGTCCATAGATAACAGCAGCAGAGCCTGGCCAAAACTAGACATAGTGGAGTGTGTGCTGCTCAAATCTCCCCTGGCAGCTTAGCTGGTGTGTCTGCAGTGTCAGCTGCAACATCCCTGATGATGCAGAGATAGCTCCTTCTTAGCTGAGATAACCTGAGAACCTATGACAGAACTATTTTGGCAGCAAAACAGTCACACAAAACTAGATAGAAACCAAAACACTCTGTTATAAACTTGCAAGTCTTATCTCTAGAGAGGAACCTAACTGCAACAAGGTGTTCCCCCATGTAATCCTCTTCTTTTACTTATTGGAGTGGTAGACTTTTTCATGTTTTAGATTTGACAATCTACTCTTTCACTATTACTAAATAGAATTGGCATTTATTCCATGTCTTGCAACAGAATACAAGTATATACTGTACAAAGATTTCTTTTCTCTGTAATCACTCTTTGTCTTAGTAACCAAGGAAATGGAGTGATTTAAATATGTGCAATCATCCTCCTCACCTCTCTCTTCACTTGCTGGTCTTCTACAATATTTGAATATGCATGTTCATGGAAAATGTATAAGTTGTTCCCTTCATCGACTGGGCTGATTTAATTTGCAAGGCACTTACATACAAAGGACTGTTCTCTGCTGAAGCATTGCCTTAAGATAAATTAATTCTTCTAATCTAATCTAATCTAATCTAGTGTAACTCATAAATATGATCTGAATTAGTTTGCAAGTTGTGTAGTATCCAGTAATATGTTCATTTTCTGCCGTAGCAATGCCCAAAAATTGTGCCTGGCTTGCACCATTGTAGCAGTAATTTTCATCCCAGGAAGAGTTTTGTGTCAGTCCTATATGAATAAGAATATATTTGTTACCAGACTAAAGTGTTGCTCTATTTTTATTGATTCCATTCTGTTAAGTGAAGAGCCAGAATTATGGAGACTAAATATAGTTGTCAGTAAACAGTAGACAGGCTTTCCCAGTTTTTTGCAGAGGCAATGTGGGTGATGAAATAAGTGAGTGTGTAGTTTTCACGGGATTTTTTTCAGCATGAAAGCTGCTTTCTAAACACACACCACTGTATCTCATCAGTTCTGGAAGAGTTGATGACAGAGGAACAATTAGGGTGGAAGGATGGTGTGCTAAGCACAGGTCCCTCATCGTGAGACAAGCCAAGCAGACCTCCTCTTTTGTTTATGACTAAGACAGAGAGGTAGGGAACTATGAACAGCTGTGACTGCTCCCTGTTCTCTGCACACAGATTCAGCCAGGAATCTTTGTCTTTGATTTTCTTCTGGTCAGGAAAGCACCAGGACTAGGATTTCATGTTCATCATCTGTGTGCTTTGCTGTTGAGAAACAAAGAAAGAAAAATAAAAGCATTTTACACAAGTGTGTCAGTGCATAAAAGGGAAACAGAGCTTTTGAAAAACAAATCCATACACTTCTGTTTATGAGTAGTCTAAAAGAGAAAACAAGTGGCTCAATAAACGAAATTAATTAGCATATTATTAGAAATTAACATCCTGGGGAGTTAAAGAAACAAGTCAGTGTAAAGTTAGAACAAACAGATTATATCAGCAGCCTTTTTTCTATCCCAACCAAGCAGTGGCTGACTGTGAGACATCCCTTCTCTCCACAGCTTGCTGTGAGGAGTGATCCCACCCAAGGCAGTTTATGCAGGCTGCCTTGGACACCTTCCTTGTTTTGAAATGAGTTGCCTTTGGGAGCTGCCTGGCTTTAATGATAAAAAGGATCTAAGCAACAAAGTTAGGATTAACTTGAAGACAGCTGAAGTGAAGTGAGAAATATACTGTCTCAAGATAGTACACAGTGATAAGGGCAGGCTTTATAAAACTTGTAACAAGCTCTGGCCATTTTCCAGGCTAAGGCCTTGGCATTTACTTTTCCCTGATGATAAATCCCAGTGAAGCCAGTGGATTCATTCATACTTAAAATTATCTTAAAAGAGGATTCACACTCTCACACACAAATGCATCCATATATTTGTATGGTCTCCAAAAATCTGCAAGAGACAGGGCAATACTTTTGTTTTGAAAGGACTCAATATTTCAGGATTTCAAGTTTCCTAATGAAGTAGAAAATGGACTAGAAATAAGCATGGTCTGACTGTATACAGTAAAATGTCAAAAAATAGTGGTATCAAGAAAAGTCCATTGGGACCTGTACTGGAACCACTTCTAGCTGCAACTGGTTTCTAGGCATATGTAAATTGAACACTAACCAGATCCTCAGACAATAAAAATGATGAGGGATTGCAAATGCATTGGAGGATAGATAGAGAAAAAAAAAAGAATTATCTAAGGAGTCTAGTGGCATGTGCAAACAACAGTAGGATAAGATTTAATTTAGATAGATGCCAAGTAATTCAGCTACAGAATGCTAATACTAGGCTGAAGAAATAAATGCATGATTGTAAAGAACAGCACTGTGACAGAGGTCCTTGGGTGATAATAGATGACAAATTAAAAGAAAGGACAAAATGTGATGCTGTTCCAAATAAATAATTTGCTGTTTGTTTTATGCTTGCATAAGAACATGGAACAGTAATTATATTTCTTCTTCTCTCCCCACATGAGAAAGTAGTGAAGGAAATAAGAGTTAAATATGAGTTAAAATAAATTGCAAAGAATTCAATGAAGGATAATAACAATATGGGAAAGCAGATTGCAGGCCAAAACCAAAAAGAGAAATTGAAGGAACCTATGTTGTACAATTTACAGAAAAGATGAAAAAGAGGATGAAAATATTTATTAGACTACAGAATAGAGGTCAAGGAATTATTCTGTATGGTAAAGGACAGCTGGGAGTAACTTGAACATTGAAAAGAGAAAATTACTTTTGACAGCAAGGGGAAAAGAATAACCTGCCAACAACAGGGTTGATGAGACAGTAGAACGCTTTCTAAAAAACTTCTTAGAGACCCCATCACCTAGACTGCAGGTGGTTATGAGAGGACATTTAATGAGTTCATTATGTGGAAGATGATTGTATGTTAGTGCTGAGGGTTGAAATGAGACTCAGTAACCTAGGATACGCATGCATTCCATTTATCGCTGATTCTGAGTACAAAAAAAATCGTATTTTTATTCCTCAGCTGTAAAGCCCAAAGAAATCTGAATTCATTCTTTGCAATTGTTATGGGTCTCAACACTGCATCTGTCAGCCGGCTGTCTCAGACCTGGGAGGTAAGACACATCTTTATATCTTTCAGACACTCTCAAAACCACTTCACACAAAGGCTGTATACTGGTGAATTGCCTTTTCTTTCTGGTTATTGTTTTTTCATGCTGAAATCAAACATGGAGGGAGTGTTGGAGAAAATTCTGTGTGACCTGAAACCTCAGATATGCAGGTATTAAAGAAAAAAACCTAAATGTGTCCTTCCAGAGTTTTAAATAAGAGCAAACCATGGAGATCTTATCCTCTTAAAACAAAATATATTATTCTAGTATTTTAAGTAGATGTTAGAACATGAAGTCTTACAAAGGTGGTTCCAAACAAGCAATACCTTATTATGGAATAATTTAATTAAAAAGCTAAAACAACAAAGTAGAAACAAACCTTCTCTAGTTGTCTTTCATCGGGGCTTTTTTGCAGCTGCTCGTCTTGAACAACAAAGTTGGGAAATGAGCCATGAATAAGGAGCACACTGGAGAAGAGAGATTGTTTGCTTAAAAAGCTACTGGTTGCTACACAGAGCATGAGTGTGTTTAAAGGAGGGTCCCACTGGGATCCCTATTTATATTGTGGATATTTTGTTTCCAACCAGTGGATTGAGTCATAGTGTCCATATTGAGTTATAGTATCTGCAAGTTCACTGTGTGTGCCGATGAAGCAATCGCTGGGGAAGGAGTGAGTGAGCGGGGTGGGTTGAAGCTTTATCCCTCCTTCGCGCCCTTTACACCATAGGTGCACTCCAAAAATGTCAATCTGTAACACAGAGTGACAGAGAAGGGCTGTGATCTCCTGCCTGGGAGACACTTGGGCACCAACAGCTGGGACCAAAGGGCCATTAGAGACTTACAAAGCTGTCTGATGCTGTCCAGAACAAAGTCTCCTCCCTCAGCTGAAACCGTGCATGTGGAAACATCACTTGTATGTCTGAGGCTTTGACACACAGACAAACAGGGACAGTGACTGTTCACAGGGACTCAGGCAAGGAAGAGCTGACTTAAATAAGAGATAAAGTGAAAGTTTTAGAGAAAACTACATACCTGAGGACAATAATACAGAAACCGTTTGCCTCTGACATCTCTAAAATACTCCTCTGGGGAACATTTGCCCTGGGCTCCTCCTAAGCTGCCTGCATTCCATTTCTCTGGGCTTTAGGAGAGTGGAAGAGACCAAGCACGGTCTCAAAGGCAATGATACAGATCTCTCCTGCACAGAGACCTGCAGAACTCTGCTCTGTGCTGAGGCCTCTGGAGATGATGGGCTGCCAGTGGACTTCTCTCAGGAGGAGCAGAATATGCTGCTTGTCGGAACAAAGAGTGCATCTGCATATGTACCTCTGAAAATATGTCACGTTTCTGTGTGTAAAATATTTATCAAGTCACATCCTTTCTCTTTTTTATTTGTAAAACTTCATTGCACTGAAAGTTTCAAAAGCAGAAGGTTATTTGCATTAGTAATGTGACTTCTAGAAAGTAGAGCAATGTTTTTAAATTAATTATAATTACTTACACATGTAAATGAAACAACCTAAATTTAAGCAGCCATTTAAACTCTAAACCATATTGGCTCTGCACTTGCTTTCTTAAACAAGTAGTATGTTCCCAAGCATATTCTACTTTTTTTTCCTACAGTATCCAGTGTTTTAATGAACCTTACTTTCCCTGATTTAAGATAGAAAAAAACATGCAATTGCAGTTCCATGCTCAATCATTTTTGCATTTTAATCGTACACATCCACTTAATCTAATGGTTCTAAAATCTCTTTTCTCTTGGTAGTGTCACTGTGGCTGTCAGGATCTAAGGACAAAGACAAAACAGGATTTGTACTAAGAGGGAATCTCTTTTACTAGACTAACTACTATGGCTGGATAAAATAGACAGGCTTTAAGGTCCACACCCCATTCTTCTAGCCTGAAATACCAGCATGAAAATTTAAATTGCAAAACAATTACTTTGAGTGTAGTGGTGTGAATCCATTAAAGCATCTTAGAGACAAAGGAAGTGGATGTTTGTGGAGTAGAGCAGGTGTTGGCATGAGGGGCAAGACAGCAGTTCGACCCTTAGAAAGTGTTTTATGCACCTCTCTGTGGGATTAGGATCAGATACCAGAGACAGAGTCATCAGTTTATTAAAGAAATGTCTCACTTTGGTACCACAATGTGCCAGTGTTAACCCTGATCAGCAGTGGCATGATGTATAAAACAGCACTGAGTGAGACACCTGTTAATTTCTAGAACCTGTGTTCTGGGGGAAGATTGATTACAACAAATGACTTAACATGGATGTGATCAGTTTCTGAACCCTCAGCCTGTGTTACTGCTTCTAGCTTGATATGGATATTTAGTTGTGGAAGCTGGGGAAGAAACTAAAGCCAGCTACTAACAGTTTCCATAAAAGAAGGATGCAGGTGCCCAAGATGAGGCTGCAGAGCCCAGTGCCTTGCTGGCATTGCACTGAACATGGTTTGTAATTAAGGAGGAGTTGGGGCTCAGTATGTGTTGGTGCTTTCAGCAGGCACTTCAGCTAGAGCAGTCTTGTGGAAAAAAATGCCTCAGCATTTTTCTGCCTAAATCAAATTCTCTCTCTCTTTTTTTTTTTCCTTCTTCTCCTTTCTGTCTCTTTTTCCTACACTTCAGAAAATTCCTGGGAAGTTCAAGAAACTTTTCACCGAACTTGAAAGTTTGACGGTAAGTATGGTGTTGACAGCAGAAGAACACTGCTATCTTTACCTGCCTTCCTTTTTCCTAATTTATTTGGAGTCTGCCTGTTACTGTCTGGAGCTGGACTTGTCATGTCAGATCCATGATTTGCTGAAGGCCAGAGCTCCGAGGTGGAGCCAAACATAAAAAGGAAAGAAGCTCTGTCCCTGGCAGAGGGAGGAAAGGCAGAGAGAGGCAAAAGTAGTATCAGTTCACCAGCATCAATTTGAGAGCTGATCTTTTGCCCTGGTAATTATCAGTCTTTATCTGAAGCAGCATGCTGCAGATCAGGAGAAAAAGAGACCAGCTCAAGTTTTAAAAACAAATGTCGAAATCTGAGGCTTGAGGGTCTTTGTCAACATTACCAAAGTAGAATAAACAAATGTTTCCTCTGGCTGTCATGGAAGTGGGTGCATGGAAGATCACTGCCTGGCACAGGGAACAGGAAATCCAGCCTTTACCAGCTGTCATGCTTCTGTACTTGGAGTTCTTTATAAATGAATGTGTTTTAAAGATTCTGTGTGAGCTGGTACACAAACATGTTTATATTGGAAATTGAGATGACTTTTTGAATTGCCTACACAATGCCACTGGAACATACTACCTTATTTTCTTTGAAAGTCTCCAGTGTGCTCCATGGATCTTAAAGCAGTTTTTGTTGGGATTTTTGGTGCTGTTTGGTGATGTTGGTTTGGGGTTTTTTTTAAGAAGAAAGTAATCAGCAATATATTTGGGATACATTTTGTGCTATATAGTAAGAGATTTTGCTAATAGAAATTTGTGGGGAATTTACAGAACAGTCCAAGTGAATCGATTCTGCAGCTTCCTCTTAATTTAGCACTGCTTCATCTAGAGGAACATAATTGCTTTTGTTCCTTTCATTGTTTATTTTTCCTGTTCAGTTTAGCATGTCAGCTAGCTTAGAAAACCTTTAGCTACCTTGCATCCCAAAGAAACCTTTTATATCTAAATCATGTTCAGATCATAAGCCCGTAATGGATTTTGAATTGCTCTTTTTATAGCCTATTGATTTTTCTGTCTATTACTCAAATGGTTTTGTAGGATCCTTCTCTGAATCACAAAGCTTACAGAGATGCATTCAAGAAAATGAAATCTCCGAAAATCCCCTTCATGCCCTTACTTCTGAAAGGTAATGTTAAAGCTTGGCTGCTCTTCACTGTTGTTAATTAAAATAAGTGTAAGATGATTTTCCTTCAGATGCTCTTAAGATGAGTATGTGACAGATATAGTGGCATTGACAAGACAGTAGGTCTGGGTAATAAACAACTTCCAACTTGGGGAAGATGCCAATTTTAACACAGGTCTTAAAACTTCATACTGTCCTGTCAAGTGTGGATAGAGCTGTGTGCTTTTGCTTTGGCCACATCCTCTTCAGTGGAGAAGTGTGACCCTGCAAACCCCTGAACCAGTGGCCATGGTCATACCTCCCTGTTTTGCTGGGGTGAACCTGCCCTGTCTATCTGGTCTGAGAGGAGGGGATTTCCAAGCCTCTTACAGGTTTGAAAGAGATAAATAAAATCTTACTATCTAAAAGAATTTTTTAAAAAAATTCTTAAAGTACAACTGCTTGCTAATGCAGTGAGCTGGGCAGCTAATTAAGTGGCAAGTATTTAAAATATTCCATTGTCGTGGAGTCATTAATTATTAATTGCCTAGTCTCTGAACATGGCAAATTCATTTGTTTATTCCTGTATTCTGAAAGTGCTCTCTTTAGGCTGTTTATTCCAACCTGCTGCTGCTGTGAAATGCTTGAAGGCAGTTCTCCAGATCAGTCGGTGACAGTTTGGGAGTCACCAGACACTTCCCCTCTATGCACACTTCAAAGGAGTTTGCATTAATTCAGATGGATACAGTTATCAAGGCTTCAAAATCAATATTTTTAAAGTGTTCTGGAGTATGTCTTGCCTGCAAACAAAGGCAGCAAACATAAGCCACTTGTAGCAAAGATGTTTGCACAGAATTACAGTATGGGTATAAGAACATGCACCTAGACAGCATTTGTATCTTTAACTTGTATTGCAGATTTGAAATTAATGCAGTAATGTCCTTCAATACAGTGGTCCATAAGGAAATGTTGCCAAGCTTGGTAATTCTCAATGTGCAATGGAATTTATTCCATACAAGCATATTTGTATTAAGGTCATTTCCAAGACCAGTAAAATAGGAATGTGTAACATAGAAATCATTAATAACTCGGCAAATTGCTGTATTTCATCACAATACGAACAAAAGTAGTTTCAATTTTTAAAAAAATGAAAAATGTTAGATTATGAAAAATAACTTCAGAGTGTCCTTTTTAAAGTTAATTAAATTTAAATGCAGAGCTCTCACAGCACACAGACAGAGCTTTTGAAAATCAGGCAGATTTTTCAAATGTGTAATAAAATACTGTGATATACCCTTATAACCTAGTTCAGATGCAATTTTCTGCTCCACTGAATTTATCTAGACTCTTAGTGGTTGGCTGCAAAGCAAATTTCTGTTCCTTCTGCCCTCAGAGATATACACTTTGCTGTCAATGACTTTAAAAGCTGTGTGGAAATTTCTGCTTCCAGTATAGGTTTTTCATTAGAAGTGATGGACAGTTTTTAACTGCATTGATACAGACACAAGTACTGCCTGTGTCCTGAAGTCGTGTCCTTTCTGTGTCCCTTTCCCGGGGTGCCCCAAATCAGCCCAGCACAGGAGGTGTAGAGGGTCGTGCTCCTTCCTTTTCCTCTGCTTTTTGGGATGCAGCCCAGGGGGAGGAGAGGTGCTGGAGGTTTTGGCAGCTATGCTGTGCTTTCTGCATGTACAGGCTGGCATCCTGTCTGTCCCAGCCAAGCCACCCTGGGGGCACAGGAGCTCTTCATCACCTCCCCAGAAGAGCCCCAGCCCGGGGTTTCCACCAGCATTTGAAGCCGTTTAGCATTTCAATTCCAAGCAATTACAAAATACCCCTCAGGCACAGAGCGAGCCTTTGAAACCCAAAGAAATAAATCAGGTTGGCTGTTTTGAGGGAGGGTGAAGGTGGAGGTGGATGGGGGGTGGTGTGTGACAAAGCTTCTCTGCAGGTTTCCGCTCCTGAAATCCCCCAAAACCGTGGGGTCCATGTGAATGAGGGAGGACAGGAGAAATGCTGAGAACACTGGTGGGTTGGAGGCTGACACTTCTGCTGGGAGGGAGATTTGTCCCATTTACTCTGTGCTGTTCTCCCACTGGCATACACGGCTGTGACTTTTAGGGAGTAATGGTACTGGAGTGCCATCTCATCCCTTTAGCATTTTCTCCTCGTGGATCTCCTGAGTACCCTCACATGCAGAAGAGAGCTGACAGGGGCATGTGGTGCTCTGCCAGTGTTTTCAGTAACCTGGAGGGTGCATTATTGAAGTCAGAGCTTCCACTCCCACAGGGAATCTATTCATATTCTTGGTCCTTTATGTCCAGAATAGGTCTCACTTCTGACCTAATATGCGTTAGAAAAACCGAGAAAATGGCCTTGAGCTACTGTTTTAATTGTAATCCTAATTTGGCAACATTTATTTTGCCTGATATTCCCTCCCTCCAGTTCGTAACACTGTGTTCAGTTCTCTTCCTGGAGCCAAATATAGACCTCTTCCTTTTCCTCTGACCTTTTTGTTGCCTTTGAAAATTCCATCCAACAACACTACATAAAATATTTTTCCCTAGCCATGATGCTTATTTCAAGGCCTTGTACTTCACTTTGATTTCTTGTGTTTAACCTCTCTGGCTGTCCACTGCTGTACCCTTGTCTTTGGGGAGGGTACATGTCACAGTCATTTGTCCCCCAGAGGGAGATGAAGGGGTGTCAGAGCCAGCTCCAGCATCTGGAAGCTCTGCTCCTGTGGAGCTCTGGGCTCAGGGACACTCCTGTCCTAGCCTGGGACATGGGCAGAATGTCTGGATTGGTGCTGCAGGGCGTGGAGAGCAGACACAGGGCCATCCCTCTGGATGCCCTCCCCTGCTCCTTGCCATCCTGGGTGCATTATGCATCCCAGAAGTAAAATGGATCACGTTTAATAAGAAATCTTTGCCCCCACTTGAAAATACTCTTCTTAACAATATGGAAATATTGTTGTTATCTAATAATCTCTGTGTGTCATCATTAGGCCAGGCTTTCGTTTCACTGTTAAAAGATATTGTGTCAGTTCTTAATAGGATACTTTCTCTTTTTTTTTTTTTTTCTTTTTGTTGCTGTTTAGTAATTTTATTTATTTGCATTTAAAAAAAGAGGTTGTGAATAGTAATTGTTTTTCTTTTTTTTTTTTTCAGATGTAACATTTATCCATGAAGGAAATAAAACGTTTCTGGATAACCTTGTTAATTTCGAAAAGCTGGTAAGCTAATTTTGTCCTTCCTGTTTTTCAAAATATTCATGTTCTCTTCTTCCCTTTGCTTTCCTTATCTTGTAGACTGTAAGGTTTTCTTCTGGCTGAACCAAGAAGAAATAAACAGGGGTAAAAAAGATCAAGCAGGATGAAACAGCCAAGTCTCTTTCCCCTGCCCTTTTCTTCTGCTCCTCTCTCTTTTCATTCCTTCCTCCTCTACTTCTTTGTAAAATGCCTAAACCAATAATGGCCATCATCACTGCTACACAGTCCACTCTTAATTTATACCTGGTGAGATCAATTCCTTTGCACCACCTCGTGGGCTGCTTCTTATGAGTTAAGTTCTCCTGCTTCAGCTTTCTCTGAATTATGTTTCCCGTTTTGGTTTTTTTTTCTCAATATTTCTCTAGTTTATCACTTAAGGGAAGATTCCTCTAGTTTGTCACCTGCCAGTGGTATTATAATTTTAGGGATCTTAAATGCAAGTGAAACTTTTTGATCTGTGTTAAATGAGGAAGAAAATAATGCCTGAAATACAAATTCAACTGATGGTTAATATCACTATTGCAGCTTTTATACATAACGACATAAAAAATACTTGATGATGTATTTTTGGCCACATTCACTCTAGCCATCAGATGACATCTACTCTGGCATAGTATTACTGAGAGAGGTTTGAGTTGCCTAATTTGTGTTGGGTTTGGGTGGTTTGTTTGGTTTTTGTTGTTTTTGGTTGGTTGGTTTGGTTTAGGGAGTTTTATTTGATAACATTTTCATGAGGTCACTTGGTCTGTTCAACCTAGAGAAGAGCTCATCAAAGTCTAGAACTTCCTTGTGAGAGGAAGAGGAGGAGCAGGCACTGATCTCTGCTCTGGGGTGACCAGCAACAAGGAATGGCCCAGAGCTGAGTCAGGGGAGGTTTAGGTGGAATATCAGGAAAAGGTTCTTCACCCAGAGGGTGTTTGGGCACTGGAATGGGCTCCCCAGGAAAATGGTCACAGCACCAACCTGACAGAGCTCAAGGAGCATTTGGACAACACTCTCAGGAACACGGTGTGACTCTTGGGGATGGTGCTGTGCAGGGCCAGGAGTTGGACTTCAATGATCCTTGAGTGTCCCTTCCAACTCAGGATATTCTGTGATTCTGTGTCACTGAGAGCCAAAGTCTATATATCTGAACAGTGGTGGAGTAGAGAAGCTTGGTTTTTCTTTTTCTTGTTGGCCTATAGTATTTCACCAAGAAACCTAAATGTTCTTTGCAGTTGTTGAGGTGTGTGACTGTTAGTCTAGATAGTTGTGGTTGGTGAATTGTGCCCAACTATTTTCTCCATGTGTTTATACTTGTTTGGGAATGAATGCACAACCATGGAGTTATTAATGAACCAGATGTTGAACTTATTTTCACATTCTATCATAATATATGTTGCCTTTCAACTTGCAAGCAGATGTAGACTCTGACTTTTGAACCTGAGTTCCTTTTTTTTGTGTTTTGTATTTGATTTCTGTACCTTTTCTTGTTGCAGAGTTTACAAGAATACTGATTTGCATTTAATGAAAGGTTTTTCTTGTCCCAAGTCCATTAACTGTTTGACCTTTAGGTGTTTTCATAAAACTCATTAGCATGTTCTTCTTCATTGCCTCTTGGAAGTACATCCAATTAACATGTAAATTAAACTAGCCCTTGATGCACCATGATTGTTATTAAAATCCCCCCACTGGCCCGTATATTTATTTAGTGAATATGTAGGATCTAATTCTTGTCCAGTCTTAGCGGGCTGTGTTCATTTGTTTGTTTGTTGTGTAATGTATATGCTTAATGTATGCTGGGCTTCCTGGGTAAGAATCCCTTTCCTTTCTGTCGCTATTGTGTCTCCAGAGGCAATGGGAGCATTGCTAATTGACTTCAGAAAGCCAGGATCTCACCTTTTCCATTCAAATGGATAATGGGAATTTTAAATGGCAGGGGGGGAGAGGCTGAGGTGATGGTTGTAGGGTGAGGGTTGTTCAGATTGACACTTCCTCCAAATTATCATTCAGATCACGCTCTCAGAAACATGCTGTCTCATGCAGCTCTGTACATATGAATGCAGGCAATAGTGCAAGCTTAGGAAGTGGGGGCTTAGGAGAGATTTAAATATCAGTGTAGTGGAAATTCAGACTGCACACTGGTATTACCCTGGCTCAGTTGGATGTTAAGGGATTTAGTCGATGGCCATGAACTCACAAGATGCATTACACGTGATCACATATTCATCAGCCCATGTTTCTTTTCTAATTATAAGGGCTTTGTCCCGAAGAACAATGTCCTCCTTGGTGTTCTGTGCTGAACACTGAAGTGCTGAGCACTTTCTGGCCTTTGCTGAGAAAAATTAGGATTGACATTGACTCCTGCTTGATTTGGATCAAGCCACTGAACCTCACCTGCAAATTTGCTGTTGCAGAAAAAGAAGAAAAGAATTATTCTACCATAGCAGATTACTGCTTTGGGGAAGGAACTTACTGTCATAAATGACTAGAATTTTCACTTATGAATTTCAAAGCAAAGATAGTTTCTTGTGTCTCCGTTCGGATCAGTATTTTGAAATATTTCATTTCTGCATAAAAAAATCTCACCTGAAGGAGGACTTGTCAGTGTGAACCATTATTTTTCCCAACTATATTAGTTTCTTTAATAAAATATCTTTCTCCCTACAATCCCTGCTTCTTTTATATTCTTAGAACTCAGCAATCCTACCATGACTGAATTTGATTTGACATGAAATGATAGCAGTGGATACAAAGATAATTCAAAATGTAAATAAGGAAATTTGCAAAGAGAAGAAAAAGAAGTGATCTTTTGTCTCAGGCATGTTACCTAGCTTTAGCAAAGGTGAAGGGGTTGCAGTGGTTTATTTAATTGTATTTTGGGTAAAGTCTCGTCTATTATAGTGTTAGATCAATATTTAGTATCATACCTACTTCTTCAACTAAATTTGAAGAAATAAATGAAAATATGGTCACATCTCAAGGTATTTCCGTGGTATTTTCTTAGCTGTTTCACTGAAATGTGTCTTCTTCAGGATTTTCTCTCCAGCCATCAGCTATGTCTTAGCAATGACATGTCTTAGCCACACTCCAGCAAACTCTATTACAGGTCAATGGCCATTACCATTTTCAATAACACCTGCTTACCTAGAGCCTTCAGCTGTAAGGACTGTGTACGTGCAGCTGTGAGGTCTCAACCCACAGACCCAAATATCTGTGCAACCCCAAGCCTGAGGCTCTGCTGCCCTCAGTGAAAGGAATGCTAATGATCCCAGGTAGCTGGGAGGCTGAAGAGCCACAGGAAATGTGTGTTACTCATCACACTTAGAGGTTTGCAAGCACCTGTTTAAGCACACAGGAGATAGCATTTGCTTTGCAGATACATGGGCTGACTTTCTGCATTACTTTTGGATCCCAGAGAATTGAAACTGGAGAGAAATGTGCAATTAGGATACTAAAGCCAGAGGATTTGGGTTTCTGCTTTAAATGTTCTCCCTTACCAAAGCATCACCTCCAGAAGCCAGTCTTGGGATGGACCCTCACAGTGACTGATTACAAAGGAGAGACAGCAAAAAGTTACCGTATATGTGATGTGTGGGTCTCTCTGACTTCTAAAATCCAAATGCAGAGGGTGTTGGCTAGGAAACATCACAGTAGCAGCACTCATGGAAGTTTTAGTACTGCCAGTACTCACATTATTGATCGTGACATCTAGATCATCTCATTAGAACTTCATTATAATCAGTGCAAGGACATCAGCACAAGAGATTGTATAATTTCATGGCAAATGAAGCACAGTGGGTAACAAGAAAAATTATTTTGATTTACTGATGAAAGAAATATGAAGTTGCCATTAAACCTACTCTCATGATAAGCTTTTCTGTGGAGGAGCCTTGTAAGCCAGGATGTTGAGAGATGAGCTTTTCTGCATCATTCTGTTCTTAAACACACTCTGCTCAAGACAGTTAATCCTTTCCACCTCTACTAATTTCTAGGGAGATGTGAAATGAGCATCAGTTGTTTGCATGAGCTTTCAGACCATTCCTGCTAACTGTAATTTTCTTCTGTTACTAGATTTGGTGAGGAATTGCTTCAGAAACAGAAGAATTTTTAAAAAGTAATTACTTAAGAACTTTATCAGCAGTATCTAGTGAAAATAAGCTCCCTCTACTGATTTGTAGTGAATAATCCAAATTTTTGTATAAATTGATGACCTGAGCCAGAATGAGAAACTGAATGTAAACCTTTTGTAAGTGAGCATCCAATATCCTTGTAAGCACCATTTTTTGCTAAAATAGCATACCTACAGGACAGTTTTACTTGGTACATACCAGTGGAGATGTCAGGGTGCTTGCCCTTCAGCATTTAGGCTATGGGGTCTTTTTTTTTCTGTGCTGGTTAGGCTGCAGAGAACTGCCTGGTTGCTAGTGGTGCCTGAGTGTGGTAGGCATTACACCAGTGTACTCTAAGGAGTGCAGTCTGTGCCACAAAGAGGCTTACAGTCCAAGTATACAAATGTGGAGACAGAAGGAGAGGCTGCAGACTACACAATACCTTAGATAATGCACTAAAGCTGGGGTTGAACCCCAAAGCACTCACCCAGTCCACAGAACTTGCTTGCTGTAGGCTTTCAGTTTAATAAAAGTCACTGAAAGGAAAATGAGCAATTGTTTGGTTATTTTTCATTACCACTTTCCATGGGTTCCTAGGGAGTTCTCATTTAATCTGTGTGATATCAATACGACATCTAGACTAACCCTGTTTCATCAAATGGTATTACTGAGATAAAGAGCAAAGTTTCTCCTGATGTCTTCATTTTCTACCTTACTGCAGTTGCTTTTTGATGTACCATGTAAGGCAAGGAGATTTTTCAGGCTTTTCTGATGACAGAATCTGTCCCAAGTTTTTGCACTGATGTTTGTTATTTTGTCTTTGCAGCACATGATTGCAGATACTGTTCGGTCATTGAGACATTGCAGAAATAACCAATTTGGTGAGTAGACAAAATTTCCTACTTATTTTGCCTTTGTACATCTTTGAGGGTGTGTTGAGTTTTTGTTTTGTTTGTTTGTTTTTTTCTTCCCTGTTTTCTTTCCAGTTGCTCAGATTTACTACAGTGGCAGAGTGTGGTCAAAAACTATTTAACTAATGGACAAGAGAGGGCATAATTTTGGGAAGATCAACATAGCGAAAACCACAGTTGGAGGAAGCTTTAGTTTACAAAATGTTTCTAGAAAGAGTTTCCCAAATGGCACTCATCCCCACAGCTTTTCACTCAGCTCTTTACCAAGAGAACTGTTTTCTTATCTGGGGTTTTTAAGGACATTTCACAAAACTGTAGAGGTCTTGAAGGTATGAAGAACCTGTGGGTTTTGTGAAAGGAAGAAATAAGGGGGTTGTTTTCTAGGGGAAGCTACAAATGTAGCTGTGCCTGCTTTAGACACTGGAGGATCAATGCTGAAGGCAATGATTGCGAGTGCCTCAGCTGCACAGAGGACTTTCTTTGTTTGCTTTTTTAAAATATTTTTTTTGTTTCCGCCTTATTAGCCACTAGAGAATCCAGCCCTAAGGGACCGTGCCAGAAAACTTCAGCTCTCTTTGTTCTGCTGCTAACAGACAAGAAACCTTGCTTTTCTCCTCCTCTGTGTTCTTATACTCTGCAGAGATGTTAAATACAGGAAGGGGACACAAGAAGTACTTTAGGAAGCAGTTAGTTTTTAAGCCAAACCCACTAAACCTGTCGTTTATTGAGGCCACTAAAACCTCTTTTTCAAAGAGAAGTTCAGAACTGTGCTGCAGCCTTGGGGAAAATACAGTGGAATAATATCTTTTTTCCACTGACTTTTCAGCAGCTGTCAGCATTGATTCCAACAAAAAGAAAAATAATCATAATTTTAATTATAAATACAGGCACCTTGGAGAATAATAGGTACTTCTAAGAGTTGTGTTTAACATTTGCTCTATAGGATTACCACATGTATATACAGTATTACTTTTAAACAAAGGCTGTTCAGTATTATGGTTCTTGAGTAATTTTTCTAAATATATATATGAATAAATATATATAATATATATAAATGTATGTAAGAGAGCAAGGGGGGGGGACGAGCAAGATGTACCTTCTTTGAATTCAGATACTGAAGGAAATATTGATTAATCCAATCCATGCCTCTGTAAATTAAAATGTCTCCTATTTGTCATTATGAAAAGTAACATTGGTTCCTTTTAGTGATGTGAAGGTTTTTTGCACTTTCCCTGCACATTTTTCATCTCGTTTTTGCCTTTTTTATTTTTCCAAGTGATTTTGTAAGTCTTGCAGCATAAATACAAGGTTAATACCTGAGATTTATCATATAATCTGGTAGTTTGAAGTAGGCAATTGTTATTTTATTTTAGCACAGACTTCATTTATTGTGAAGCTGGCATTTAAAAAGCAGCTTATACAGACATCCCTGTAGGCAGTTTTTTTTCCCTAAAATTCGTTTAGGCATGAAATGAATTCACTGAATATTTATTGAGACTTTATGGACAGTTTCCTTTTCTAGTGGGCTTATTTTGCTCTCAGGAATGTGAATCTTTCTACTGCATCAATTCCCAGATTGGCCTAAGAGCAGCAGGAATCTCACTGTAGGAAGGAATTCAAACAAAACTAAGCAAGGAATATTATTATTGTTTATGAACTGTATCACGTGTATTAAGCTTGCAGGCCAAAGTGTTTCTGGATTAGAAACTGGTTAGGTTCCAAGTAAAACTGAAATGCCTGTTTAATGGAAATAACATTTATATCCTAAATCCTGAAAACAAATAGCATTTCCAAAGTGAGGCAAAGCAGCCTGAGAAAATAACATAAGTCAAGTTTTGTCATTGGAGGTGTTAATGAGAAATACAAATGTTTTCCACTATGTTCAGCACAGCTGCTGAACAGGATCTGAGGGAATAGGATCCCTCAAAAAAAAAAAGGTCAGCTCTGTATCCTGACACAAATTTATCACATTATCCTGTTCTCTCCAACATTGCTCAAGTTAGATGGCTGCTCTGCAAGAGTTCTTTAAAACAGCTGCCCAGGAGCCCCATTAGCAGCAACATGCAGAACTTGCTGCATTCACATCTCGTGTTACCCACACAGCATCGTAGGGATATCTTCAGAAACAAGTGGGATTGGTGATTCTTGGAAACTTTCTCATATAGCTGGAGAGTGTGGAGAAAAGGATGATAATGAAACAAAGGAGACGGAAGAAGTGTGTGAGTTAAGCTGATAGGTTCAGGCAATTTTGAAGGATTTTCTTTTTCAATTTATGGTAATATTATTAAAAATTCCTTGAGGACACAGACACGAATGGAGCTTTCCAACCTTTGTTTGTCTGCCAGAAGTCAGCAATGTTGCTTTCCCTGCCTGTCTTGATGGATCTTGGGCTTGGCTTTCTTTTTTCCGTTTCTGCTAGTACCAGCCGTGAGGGAGGGTTTCACAGGCAGTGAGTTCCCATGAGCCCATTTTGAGCATAAAGCTTGTAACAAAGAACAACTGCTATTCAGGCCACCCTTCAGTTTGTGTGTTACACAGCTAATTCCTCTTGCTGCGTAAACTCCCATGAAATGAGAGCATGACTTTTGTCTCTGTTACTAGATCAGAAATCAAAAGCCTAACAGATCAAAACACAGCAGCCTGTCAGAGCAGCTTTGAAGAGCTTTCGTATCCATCTGCTGTGCTGTCACCTTTCCCCAGCTCTGAAGAAAATCATCCAGGGCCTGCTGTCTTGTGGACTGTGTTAAAAATTTTAAAAAGTTGCAGCCTGGGTCACCCACCCCTGCTTAAGGTCCCATTGTGCTGCCAGAGCAGCACAAAGGAAACCTTGAACCACCCTTACAAGGGATGGACTGCCTGTACTGCCAGCAGAACTAAATCTTCCTCTTGGGAAGAGTCAGCTTCTTGCCATCCTCATGTCCCCTTCCTTTATGCATGCTGGCTGCCCAGAATTGCCTTTTTCTTTTTTCTTCTCTCCCTTTCTCTATCTAGCTGTTACCTCATGCATTGCACTTAAAGAGCAAGTCCTTTAGATTCCTGGCTGTCTTTCCTGTGGCTGTGTAGCACCCGACAGGCGGCACAGCAGTGACTTTGTGACAAAGGACAGAGAAGCAGCAGGCAAGGCACAACTTTCTGATCCATCCCCTTCCTCCTGTCTTGCAGGCAATGAAGTTCCTTCGAAAGAGCATCACGAGCTGAAGCCATACGTCCACCACCTGCATGTCATAGACAACCAGCAGGCTCTGTTTGAGCTCTCCCACAGGATAGAGCCACGAGCGTGAGCGTACACAGCTTCGTATAACCTTGTAACTGCAGCACTTTGAATTAAGTGAATGTTGATGCCAAGCATGTTGCTTCCCTATATGAGAACGGTTTACTGAGTTTTATCAGTAGCTCACACAACATGTGCACGAAAATCAGGCGAGAGCCCGCAAAGGAGCTGCTCACGGAGTTGCAAGGCAAGCTTGGTGCCATTCCCACTGGTCTCTGGGCAACCTGAGGGAGTGGAGCAGTGTCCTTTTGAGCTCAGGAGCTTGGTTTCTGTGAAAATATTGTTTGGTCCAGTGCAGCTTTCAATGCAGATTCTGCCAGTATTAGAAAGAAAGGAATCATCGTGTCACAGCAGCAAAACATTTCAGCAACATGCCGCAAGGGGATGGATTCCCAGTTCACCACAGTATGTACCTCACTAATTCAAGGCTGCCAAAAGTATTGTTGCCAAAAATAATGTGCAATCTGTGCAGCTCCCATGAGTCCACTGGAGCATAGTATTTGAGATGTGTGAGCAACCTATAACAGGAATATAGCAAGGCAGTGCAACCAAATGAAACTCAAGAGTCTGTTGTGATGTGGAGGTCAGCAGTAAACAGTTCAGCCTGTTATGACTCCTTTAAGAGTATGCTTTATAAAACATGCTGTAAGAGCCAATCCACTTCTGTTGAAATTTATGGACACAATTGTTTGTATACTGAAAACATGTTATTTTCTTCCTTTTCAGTTATCTCAGATTTAGCACTGGCTCCTGCAGTTAATGTGTCATAAATTATTGTAGCAGGAGCTTTATTTTCTGATTGGGTTACAGCCTGTTTGGTATCTATTCATAGGCAAATACCTAGATCCATCTACATTTCTAATTCCTCCCACTGGAAATAACATTTCAGTAAGTATAACTTCACCTAACTTGCACGTGCTTCCAGTTTTTAAAGAACAGAAAGGTGCCCCATACAGGATCCCACCGTACTTACCTGCATACACACCAGGCTCTCAGCATCCGGGTCCCTTCACTGCTCTTGTCCCTTTCACAGCTCTCCCCGTGACAATTCTCATGTAGTTAAAAGTACTGCATCTAGCCCTGAGCTGAGGCAGCGTTTCTGAAGTCATGTCTACAGCTGACCTGCATCTCAAGCACCACCATCACCTGGTTTCCCGTGCTAAGAAGTTGCCCTGAGATGATCCAGTGGATGCCACAGGCGATGTGCAGGGTGCTCTTTGGCATGTGTTTGTGCACTGACTCACGGTGACGGTCCCTTTACAGAGCAGGGAGGATACATTGCATTGCTTACCCATTTCTGTTCTATGTTTTCTACACCAGGAGGACTTCCAAGAAAATGCTCCTTTACTAAAATGTGGGAATACTGAAGTAGCATGCTATTCATTGTTATCTCTGGTTTAAAGGGATTTAAAAAAAAAAGCAGCTTTAACAAGTAGTCTGTGGGGGAATCTGTAGAATGCATTCAGTTTTCCCATCTGTGAAATATTGTATAGATCTATTGTAAAGGAAACAGATGTTTCAGAAATGTATTTGCTTGTACTTTGTTATTATCAAATATTATATGATTTTTTTTAAGAAAAAAAAATTCTTTTTACCCAGTAAAAAGAAAAAAAAATAAACTCTTGCTGGCCATGGAGTAAAAATTTCCTATGTTCTTCTGTAGATGTGACTGCACATATTGTAAATAACTCTTTTGTGCAAACAGACCAAAACTGTTCAAATGAAGATACTAGCTGTGGTGGGCTCCTTTTTGCAGTGAAAGAACAAAAACCAGATACAATTTGTTGCTTGCCTTTTTGCAGTTCTTCCTAGGGCTACAGCACTTGGAATTCCCAATCTAGCCGCCTTACCTGGATGCTTTCCTAGGTTTTGAGCTCCCTCTTGTGATTTTTTTTTTTTTTTTTTTTTTTTTTTTTTTTTTTTTTTTTTTTTTTTTTCTGTGGCATTATTTTTAGGAGCCTGTATGTAGACCAGCCTGCATGCTTCAGCTTGTGTGGTGTAACACTCTAGTCCACAAAGTTGTTCTGGAAATCTGTGAGAGAGGGAGCATTCTAAGGTATTCAGGGTGAGAAGGTGGGGCTGTTTCTCAGTTCACTGCATTTGGCTCTGTGATAGTTTTGGTAGCTACTGTGGATGAAGCAGCAGCTGTGTTGGAGAAAAAGAAAAGACAAGGAAATTGAAAAAGGGAAAGAGAAAAAAAAAAAGAAGAAAGATGACTCTGACTCTGTACTGAGGCTTTGAATTGAAAGCCTGATAGACTTACCTGGAACACTCCTCACTCTGCCAACTCGAAATGAAGTAAAGGAACAGGTTAACTCATACCAATAGCCTTTGAGACAGCTGAGGTGTTGGCTTTTTGCACTGCTGTAATTTCACGGTAAATCTGGTGTTGTCAACCACTTGCAACTGGCATAAAATCAGTCTGAAGGCACACAGCCAGCATTAACCTTGTTATCTGTGCTGTGACTAATTAAACAACTAGTCAGAGCTTTACAAACTAGTTTTTATAGTGACCTATATAACTTGGATATAAGTTTCAAGTGTGAGGGTCCAACATGGCTGCATCAATTTAATGTTAAGAATTGGGCCTTGGAACTGTTGTTATAAAGGAAAAGTAAATAGCCCAAACCTGTAGCTAATATGTCTAATTAAATAAAGGCCCTTCTATGTCTTCATTCCACAGGTAAAGTATTGCAGATCTTTGTTGCAGACTGGCAAGCAGTTTGAAGATGTGGAATTTAGAGAAGAACTAGAAGTAAAACCTTTATTAGGGAAAGGCAACACTATACAGCCTCTGCCAGGGTCCAGCACTGGTGATATCGTGTGATTTTTTTACATCCTTCAGTAGTGCAATTAGGTTACATGGTATGAAATCTATAAATCTTGTAAATTCCATTTATCACAATCACATCTGGGGTTAAATGCTCCGCATACTCTTTTTGTTTTAGTACCTAAGAGTAATTAGATAGAACAAAGGGAAGAGCTGTGTCACTTCATACCTCTTTGATGTGAGATTTTGCGGCAACAAATTTGGATGTTTCTCCAACACAGCTTTTTGATTCCAACATCATCTTGAATAGCAATAAATTTCATTTGCATAGCAGTGGCAAAAGAAAGGGTGTTATCAGAAATAAGATCTGTGCTACTGTAAAATTACAAAGAAAGATGTAAATACTAAACATTTTAGCAGAGTAATATTTATTTGCATAGCCTATTATTTATTGTCATCTTATACACTGTTAAACACTGGGATGAAGTCAATGAGCTGAGGTAAGAACACCTGCCTGTTCTCTCTTGAGTGCCATAATGGTGTCAGCTTGCATTAAAAGTAATAAAATAGAACCCCTCAAATCAAGGTATTTACCTAACTTCTCAGGGACTACAGCTAGTAGTTATCCACCATCATGAGACCTGGTATGTATGAAATAATCTGATTTACCAGAATCAATGTTGCCAATGTTTTCCTTTGCATATTTCACGCTTGTTTGCCTCTGTACATATTATTGTGTCGTGTATTTATGAGAGCTAGTAAGCAATAATTTATATGTCAAAATGGCCAAGCAATACAAGGTTAAAACTTGTAGAAGCAACTGTTATGTTTATCTTGCATTTTCCAGTGTTTTTTAATATTGCTTTTCAAAATATAAAATCTACCTTAATGAAGTCTGGGCTCTGTGCCTTTATGCCTACCACACATACTTGTTGTTCCTATGTGGAATATTTTGCTTCCAGTCATTCAGTTCCACAGACCCTCACTGCATATGTGAGATGGATGCAGACTCACACAGAGGCTCAGGAGCCTGACCCCTTTCAGAGCTGCTCATTTGTCTCTGGTCAGTGGGAACTCGCTGGTACCAATGTTTCAAAGCAGGAATGATGTTAATGGGGCCTCAGCTGTGCCCTGTCATCACAGCACAGCCAAAGAGGGGCCTCCAGCCACCATGAGAAGTCCCTGTGGGAGGGGGGAGGAGTAAATCTATCTTCATATCCCCTGGAGTCTGCTTATTGGCACTTGATCCTCTTACTGAGGACAGCAAATGCTTTCCCCTGTCATCAGTCACCCTGCTGGTGCTGTTTCCTCTCCTTCCTCTGGGCTGGTCTGCAGCAGGAAGGCAGAGCTCAGGATGGGCTGCAAGTGCACTGTAAAGCAGCTGAGGCTTGCCCTGTTCTTCCTTCCTTTCCACTTGCAAACCCAGGGAACCAGCAAGCCAAACCTGGCTATTTCAGGCAGAAATAACACTTGGTACTTACAATGTGATGTCTGTTCTGAGTGCTTTACAAATAGGTAGTACTTAATCCTCTGAGTGCCTGCACCTTAAGTAGTCTTAAGCCTGACCTTAAAAGTGTGTCTGCTAGTGTCAGTATACAGACAGGGTGAATTCTAACCTTAATATTTAAAACAAGCCTGAACTGTTGACACTGTTCTGTCACGATGTTTAAAGATACATGACAGACAGACATACTTTTCCAGATCCAGCTGCATAATCTGAAGAATCTGTGGTCTCAGTGGTTTATCACTGTCCCTTTATTGGATATCACTGCTCTCCATGGTGTAGCTGAGAAGACTGGGAGAGAGCCTGTTGCAGTTATTAAGCCATTGCTAAATGCAGCTGACTTTGCAGAAAGGGCTCTCCTTCCCTCCACTGCCCTTGCTGGGAGACTTTCACAAGAAGACTGATGATTTGTGAATGTCAGGGTGTGGAGCTGAGGACAGCTGCCTTACAGCTCCAGTCGTGCTAGAAGAGCCAGAGAAGAGGCTGCTGGGCTGTGGATGTTGTCCCTTAAGACCATCTTGCTAAACTGCTCAAATAAGGACTCTTCTATCCCTCTCCAACAAAAAGAGCTTGATTGGTGGAGGCCTGCAATTTAAGCTGCTCAAGGGACTCTGGGAATTTTAATCTGAAGCAATCAGAGGGGTCTATGATGAGCTATTCCTCCAGGAGCTGTGTGACCCCAGAGGCAGCAGGTGGGGGCAGTTTGCTCGGGGCCAGCACAGCCCTCTGTGCAGAGCAGCCCTGACCTGCATGGGGATAATTGCTCTACCCCTTCCTCTTCTCAGGAGCTAAAAAATGCTCAACCTGTAAACCAGATCTCCCAAATATTTGCTATATTTCATGTCCCAGCAGACTTTCATGCCACCTAGAGCCTCTTCCCTGGAGTCCTGCTGTCTTCTGCCATGGGGTGGCAACTGAGATGCAAAAGCAAAACTCAAAGAAGGTAAGTCTTCCACTCCTACAATGTCCACCGTTTCACACTGGAGACTTGTGGGATGGCACCTTACACTCCTGGGTACAATAATACTGTGAAATGCTTGTAGTTGTATTAGAGTTAATAGAATTGAGCAGTGTGTTGAGGTCTGGAGGGCTGAGGAGGTCTGCAAAGGTGGGTTAAATAAGCAGTTTATGCTTATTAATTATGCTTATTATTATTCTAATTAAATATGCAGTTCTCCTGCATTTCCTCTGGTCTGGAGGAAGGTCTGCTGATGGCCCTGAGTTTAACTCAGGTGGTTAGAGCATGGTGCTAACAATGCTAAGGCTGTGGGTTTGATCCCAGTAGGGGCTATTCACTTAAGAGTTGAACTTTGATCATCCTTCTGGGTCCCTTCTAACTCTGAATATTCTGTCATTTTATAACACCTTTCAGCAGCATCTGCCTCAGAGCCTTTAAAATATGACAGTGATACAGTCTGCATAACTTTAATTTCTACTGCCCATTGCAGTGGTAAGCAGTTGCAGCTGGTGGTCTCCCCAGGAGATTTGTACTACCACTTACTTGCAGAGATGCAAATCCATGAATTTAGGGAACTGTCTGGATTTCAGCATGGCTTTTTCATCTTACGATGTTTCTTATGGCAGGGAGGGAAAGTGGCATTGCCTAGAAAATCCACAAGCACCAGAGGTTTATGTCCAAAAAGGAGAGAGAGAGGAGTCCTGCAACTTTATTCAAATAAAGGGAGAGAGTTCACTGGGGCACAGACTCTTGGGATTTCAGAGGGTGCAGCCTCCTTTTATCCCAAACCCCCGGCTACAAGTTGCCCTCTTCCTTTCCCCATTGCTGAGGTACCAAGAAGGTACAGCCTTCCCTAACCACCTACTGTATATCCCCCCTTGAATCTACTATTGTACCCCTAAGCTCAGAAATTCAGGCTTGTGCAGACCCTTGCCTGTTTCACAAGCCAAGCTGTCTGGGCTCTGCAACAAACCTAGAGCCTGAAGTTAGTAGAAACATTAAGACTGGTTTCAAAGATCTAGAAAGCCTTGGAAAACTTCATTTACCCTGAATAGTGCTGCTGACCTCTTCCAGGTTCGATTTCCCCAAGGAAAATCTCGTGATAGAGGTAATCCTCCCCATGAAGAGAAACACAACCATCCTAGAGAAACCAGGCAGCTAAAACTCAGGGGAAAAACTCATTTTAGGGTTAGGAAAGAGAAGAGCAATTTGAGAGGTCACCCAAATGCAGCAAATGAGAAGGAAGCTGTTCCTTTTTTATTCTCTGCATGGGTCTGATTGATTGCTCTGGGATTTTTGGCTGGTGAAGTTGTTATTTTGCAGGGAGAGGTGGATAGTGCTGGGCTTGCTTGT